GCGACCCCCGGGGGCTGGCCCCCGGGGGTCGCATCCGCGTCCCCCCCCCCCCGGTCACCGGGACCCCCTGCACCCACAAACACGCACACAAACACTTCCCCTCCTCTTCCAGGAACCGCTCTGACCAGCGTTCCCAGACCAGAGGGGGGGCCACACACAGATCCACCCCCCCCCCACCTTGGCATCAACCCCAGCCCCGCTGGGACCAGGGGTCGGACATTTCCCGTGGAAAATGGTGGCACGTGCCGGGATGGAAAAGTACCGGCCGGTTTCAGCCACGTCCCCGAGCCGGCACGGTGCTCACACGCGTGTGGGTGCCGTGTGCCTGCAGGCGTGTGTGCACACGCGTGTGTTTTTTTGCTTGCACGTGGTCTGTGCCAGGTTCTGGGGGGGTGTCGTCTGGCTCGGGGTGTGTGCCCAGCACCCATCCTGCACACCCGGCCCCACTGCAAGCCCCCAAGGTCTAATTATCGCCCAGGGTCTAATTATCGCCTGGCGTTAACGCTCCCGGCGTCGGGCTGGCCCTGGCCGGTTCCCCACGCTGCCGGCACACTGGAACCTTGTGCCAGGGAAAGGTGTGCAGCCGCTGGCCCCGCCGCCGTGGCGATGCCGGAGGGATGCGGTGGGGATGCCGGTGGCCACGGTGGCGGGGATGCTGGGAGTCACGGCGGTGGTGGGCCACAGCTCTCGCCAGCCAAACCAAACCAGCCCAGGACTCCCATTCCCAGTCCCAGGACCCTCGTTCCCAGTCCCAGGACCCCTCTCCCCGGCATCCCTCGCTCCAGTGCTGCGGTGCTGGCAGGGTGCCGGGGCGGGGGTCCAGCCGTACGTGGCCCTGTGGGTGCTGAATCAGGGCCCCCCCCCAGACCTCGCAGCCACCCTCGGTGTCTGGGCTGGCTCTGGCCGGGTGGAAAGTGCGGCTCAGCGTCCAGCCGGGATCCCCACCGCCCCCACGCTCGGCCGGGACCGCGGTGAGTCAGGCCAGCCTGGGGACGCCGCGGCTTGGGGGGGAACCCGGGGGGGCCGGGGAGCC